CTCGGATCAACCGTCCATTTTAATGCAAGCATTTTCTCATAACAATGTCGTAATCATTATCAAATCATAATTAGAAACCTTCGACCAATTTCCAAGCTTCGCATAAATGGCGTCTTGAATAAATTTTGTTTAAAACTATGAACCATTTATCGATTCCACTTTATTTGTGCACTTTGTAAAGATCTACATTGCTGCAGTACATGATTGCAATTCTACAGTTTTATTTGAAGCTTGCTTGTACCAGGTGGCTCTTGTTTTACCACCACAGACATGAAGACGTATATTTGCGTCTATAAAAATACAAACCGTAAACTTTCTACTGGGGTAATCAAAAATTTTAGACTCATAGGACAGTGAAGCTGACACAGAGTATCAATAAGACTTTCCCCTTGGCCCTCTAATCCTAGTGGGGAACGTGGACTTGGGAACAAGGACGCTCCCCCCTTCTGTTCGAATAGATAACGTCTGATACACCGTGTTCACTTGTTTCACCCACAGCGATTCGATTTCAATTTGGGACACGTTAAGCTCATAGTTCGTTTTGATCTAAATATTATTTTCCTTTCACCAGTCCTTTGATTTAATTTGTTTCATTTTATTACTTATCCGTGACCATGCAGTAATCTGAAGTATTCGCACGATCAGAAATAATACTAATAAAAAAAATAATCGTAAGATTAAATTGTAAAGTAGTTTTTATTTACATACTTAGGCTAGTTGTTGTGTTTATCGTTTGAACTTTTCCTTACGTGTCCGATAGAGAACGTGTCTGATAATATTCTTAATACAAAAAAGAACGAACAATTACAAAATAATTAATAAATTTTACTTTAGATAATAAATCAACATTTTTGTCTTGGCCTTGAACTGAATGTTATTGTGGCTTCAAGCTGATCAAGCTATGTGTGGATTTAATTTTTAAATCACCTGAAAAATAAGTGTTATTTGTTTAGATCTGAAACTTTATTAATAAGAATTAACAACTGCTTCGTTTGAACAAACACACACACTATAATAATAATAAATTAAAATTTAATCTATATATTAATACGTGAAGCAAAAACTTTGTATCCCTTTTTACGAATATTGCGCAGACGGAGCAGTATGAAATTTTCCACATTTATAGAGAATATAGAGAAGAAGTGCACAATGCTAATATTTTTTTAAATAATGCATAAAAGATACATTAAATCAATAAAGAAAACATTACACACACTACATACCATGTATTTGACGCACACACGCATGCATACTATTTATTGTCAAACTTTTGTTCTTGACGTCTGTCGTCAAATTGAGAATAGATTAAATATTGTTTGTCTTTGTTAATATATTTTGGCGAAATTTGTGAATAAAGAAGTATAAAATACAATCATAATAGTGTACAATTCCAATTAAGTATACCTCTAGTATAGTTAACACTTCGAGTCGACAGGATGACCTCTAAATCCTGTTTATGTTAATAGTCAGTTGCAATTCGTTTAATGAGAGATTAGTTTAAAATTACGTTTTGATTATCACAACATTATTATAAATCTCACTTTGAACGCTATAATTATCTAAAGCAGTACAACGACTTGCTTATAAAAGGCGGACTAGCGCAATTTTAGACTAATAACTGTCATACAAGAGATGCTTTCACATTTTCGAGACATAATGACTCATTTGAACACAGTGCTTGTAGCAGGAAAACGACATCGACTAAGGCTCATCTCCTGATAGTCTGTCTCTTTCTTTTGGGCTCTTCGCTTGTGCGTTCATCTCCCTCGCTCTCAGCATCCGTATCGATCGCGGTTCTGTCCTTGACCTTCTGTGGGTAAACAGTATGTACAGCTGACCTTGTGCTATGAGAGCGTAGCGTTATTGTGGCTTGCATTTCTTTTAGTTTTCCTGGCAAATGCTTATCTTAACCCTTAAAAATATACTATTGTAAAATTAACATAGTTTTTTAGGGCGTAGATTAGAAACTTAAAACCATTGGAAAAGGGTTATTTTCGGTAATATTCCTTTTTTCTTTCTTGAAGCTTGAAATTAAAAGCAAGTGTATACCGGGTAAGAAATGTTTTTATTGAACACCTGGTTGCCATCGGAGTCCATGGACACAACCTACCAACATCTACTCTAACCATGAGACGTAGGCTACACTTGTTTGTATCAGAACACGACTGTCACATCCGTATTATCCTATCACTAGTTTGCCAGTCTGCGATTAAATATTGCTAGGAAAATACTTAAGAGAGCTCTGCTGCCTATCCTCCTATAAATTCCCAAGTCGTCTTTTGACGTCCACGGGAAATGGGGTGTGGCGGCGACATTCTAGACAAGATAAAGCCGAACTGTGTACATTTCCCGCATCTATAACACACGAGAACATTCTTAACTAGGCCGCTGAAATCGGGACGTTTCTTTTTGATACGAGACCTTTACCTTTTTTGTATGTTTGAGAATTTACTCGAGGCCTTTCAAGTTTTACCAGGGTAGGTGGGGCGAGCAAAGGCTCAACCAGGTGGGTTGGGATTTGCTAACAGCTGCCCGCGACTCCTTTGCTAGCAACTCCAAAGGAGAGCTAACAACTCAAGAGCAGCTGTTTTGCGAATGAATCTACTACCGGATCGGAATTGCGACCCGCTGAGAAAATCCGGTGAGAAACTTAGCTGGCTGATGCTTAGGTTGCACGTCGAACTCTTTGCCGAGTTCGACGTGCAACGGTTACCGGAGTCCCTACTCCTAGTGTTAGAGCTAAAGGTGTCTAATGCTAGGGTTATTGGATCTGATGGATCGGTAAGGTCGTGTCTAGGGCGTCGACAGTGACTGGCTCCTGCGTGATTAAGATTTGGGAGATCTTTATCTTAGTCTCGTTGGTTCTAAGATTGGAATTACTTTTGAAACAAGCGTCAAGGGAAAACTCAATCTCTTGACAATAAATTGGCCAACGGAATTCATCGCTTACATTAACACTAAAAGGCTTCCCTCGCAACGTTACCCTAATGGATTTACGAGGACGCGGTATCCCGGGATGGGTTGGGATTACGAAAATGAGCTGCGAATTTTTCGGTTATTAACTTTGGTCTTATGTATTCTCTTCATTTAAACCAAGCAATATTAAAAAATATATTGAGTCTCTGTATCGGGCAAGGATTAATAAGACGTTCAGTGTGCTTAGTGCGAGTTTTTTAAACGTTCTCGTTAGCGTAAAAGTTAACTCAAATGTGTATGAAGTTGGAACGTTTGCTTACGTTTGCCGCTAAGGACGCTGTTCCAACTGCATACAAATTTGAGATAACTTTTACGCTATCGAGAACGTTAAAAAACGCGCACTAAGCACACTGTTAAAGTGACTAAAGTATAAACGGATTACAACTTAACGTGCTACCGACAGCCCGATAATCCCAATACTGACGTAGGATCGTTGCGATATAATTACAGCTTACACCTACGTATTGATAGATAGTATGGGAAAATACATATATATATAGTCCCTACAGACATTCCAGGTGTATCAGAGACGTACCGCAAAACGACAATGGGCGTTTGAACTTGCTTTCTTTATTTTATTGCGTGTATGTATGAACGAGCTTAAGGCCCGCCTAATGTTGTGTGGTTACTGGAGAACCACCTTAAACCATAAGATCCAAGTTTCAATGGTACTATAAAAAGATTGTTTCACCTTCCAAACGCATGACTTCTGCGTGATAGAAATAGGCAGGATGGTTGTACCAATTCAAAAGACATTTTCTATGGAATGGTGGTAGAACCTCTTGTGAGTCCGCGCGGCTAGGTACCACCATTTTGCCTATTTCTGTCGTGAAGCAGTAATGCGTTTCGGTTTGAAGGGTGGGGCAGCCGTTGTAACTATGCTGAGAGACCTTAGGACTTATATCTCAAGGTGGGTGACGCATTTACGTTCTAGATATCTATGGGCTTCAGTAACCACTTAACACCAGGAGGGTTGTGAGCTTGTCCACGAATCTAAGAAAATTTTTTTTTTCTCAAGCACTGCAATGGAACACAAATAAAAATCAACTGACGCGCGGGGTCAACGTTCTAGAGCGCTCGCGGGACGCATCTGTCAACTACGTGTGTACTGTAATAAATACATTGCGCATTAATCATAATAAAATCAATTGTATTTACGCTTACACTAGTGCTCCTCAAAAATAGAATATCGACCATAATCAACGACACGTGAAAATTTAGATTCAATTGTTTAATACATTTTCTCTTCTGTTTTATTATCCGAGCCCCTTTTCACTAGTCATTTTATTATAAGAATAACGCCAAAATAAAACTGGAAAAATAAAACAGTACGCATAATCAGTAGTGGGGGGAATATTCTGGGACTGCACGTATGTACCACACCACCGTGTCTTTTTTTATCCTGAAGAAGTCAAACGCTTAAAAAGTAGACATTGAGGTAGAATTAACATCGTGAGCCCTGTCGGTGGTACCTTTATATTTTTTTCGGGTTGGGGTCGAACCCCCTGAAGGTTCCCTCGCCTAGGGGGCGCCCAGGATATCTAAGGCCCGATAGCAGAAAATGTAAAAAGCGTGTAGGTGTTACCTACCTAAACTTGATAATACTTTGAGTGTGCTTATAAAACGTCTAAGGAAGCTTATCTGACGACTGAGCGACGGGGCAACGCAAGCCCGCTTTTGCATGAAACATGTCTTGCTTGATCCTCCTGACCCTCAAGTACTGGTAACCATCGTCCGGTAGTCGATTACAACGAAGAGTTCGATGAGCGAACTAACCTATAGACACAGCCTACTGAGTTTCTCGCCGGATCTTCTCAGTGGGTAGCGATTCCGATTCGGTGGTAGATTTTGCGAAGCACTGCTCTTGCTAGGGCTAGTGTTAGCAAATTCTCTCAGGTTGAGCCCGTGAGCTCACCTACCTGTCCGCGCGTAGCTGCAATAGCCTCTTATTCTACCAGCGAATTGGTAGAGCAAAAAATAATAATAAGGAAGCGTGATACTATATATCATTTTATGTATTCCAGAGTGAAGGCGGATGTCGGGCGGCGGCGGCGCGGGTCTTATGTCGTGTGTGCGCGAGGGCTCGCTGGAGCCGCCATACCGACCGCCGCATGCAGACACACACAACCATGGTCAGTGTTGTATTTATCTTTATTTAATACCATTTTACTATAACTCTATAACTCTTTCGCACTCACTATAACTCTCACTATAACTCTTTATCAAACGAGGTTTGACAGCAGTTTTTAGCGGTATATCCATACCCGATCCTGTACACCGAATGGTAAACAGTCGACGTAGCCCAAAACACGTCATTACGAGTCCTCCCGATCCATTTACGGTGCTGTTAGGTACCACAAGCACCGGTCACTGTCCTCGTCGAACCCGTCGCTTGCGACGAAGGGCTCGACAAGCGAATTAACCCATAGACACAGCCTGCTGAGTTTCTCGCCGGATCTTCTCAGTGGGTCGCGTTTCCGATCCGGTGGTAGATTCTGCGAAGCACTGCTCTTGCTAGGTTCAGTGTTAGCATCACTCCGGCTTGAGCCCCGTGGGCTCACCTACTAGGGTTACGCTGAAATAGCCTCTCAAGACTATTTCGAGGCTCATATGGCACATGCTCTTTCGCTTTAGAAGACAATACAAATCAGTCATTAAAGTTGCTTTAGTTTTTTTTTTATTGGTTAGTTGTTTGGATGAGCTCACAGCCCACCTGGTGTTAAGTGGTTACTGGAGCCCATAGACATCTACAACGTAAATGCGCCACCCACCTTGAGATATAAGTTTTTTTTTAAAGATCCCAGTATAGCTACAGCGGCTGCCCCCCCTTCAAACCAAAACGCATCACTGCTTCACGGCAGAAATAGGCACGGCGGTGGTACCTACCCGCGCGGACTCACAAGAGGTCCTACCACCAGTAAAGTTTTATCTGCTGCAGGTTTTTGCGTGTCTGATATTTTCTGATTTCTCATCTTTACAGGCGAGGGCCGCACGGGCCGGTTCTTACGTGGGCTCCGGCGCATGTTCAAGAGACGAGGCAGCGGCACCCGAGCTGACGCGTCTCCAGACCCGAAGAGCAGTTCCACCAGTGAACTGCTGGACGCGGAACGACACGCCAGGAGAAAGTTAGTATCACCAGAATAAGCGGCTTGGCTCTGCCCCTGGCATTGCTGAAGTCCATGGGCGACGGTAACCACTCACCATCAGGTGGGCAGTGTGGCTCGTCTGCCTACAAGGGCAATAAAAATAGACAAAAAACAAAAAAAGGTCGGAAGGTAGTCTCTAGTTACGTAGCATCTAACGTAATACCATAATAATTAATGCTTTAATAGCTCTTATATTGTACACTATTCCCCCCCACTTATACATCGTATTTCTCTCTGCTAATAGTTTGCTGGAAGAAAACTCATGAATGAGTTAAGCTCGCCTTTGTACATAGTATTTAGACATTCTTTAAATCTGTTTTTATTGTATTTTCTTTTTGTGTACAATAAGTATAAATAAAAATAAAAATACAAAAATAAATAATTTTCAACGATAATAAATAGTTTATGTTTCAAAATCTATTTCAATTTCAAATTCCTTTTTAATACGCTTTTATTAGCTTCAGACGTATGTATGTTAGTATGTTACGGAATCTTTGAACATGATCTTGACCCCCTTCAAAACGTCGGATTAACTCGAAATTTGGTATTATAATTATTAAGGACCGATGGCAATACAAAACTAAAAAAAATATTGAAAAAAAATGAAATTCACCTAAAAAATGAAAAATAAATAGGTAATAGTTCAAAAAAACGAACAAAATACGCTTTTATAGAAAATGCAATAAAAAATTTAAAATTAATTTTAATAAATTTGAATTAAAAATAGTGTAAGAAAATTAATTTTATTGTAAAAAAAAGCGTGGGGTGCATGGTATCAGTAGTTGTTATAAATATTTTATGAACAGATAAGAGTAGAAGGGTTATTTTGATAATATCCTCAAAAGCACTATTTCTAATTAAAATTATTTTTAAATATCACATATTTCCCGTTTATTTTTGCCTCGAAATAATCACGCGATAACGTTATCGAAGGAAAATGTAAGAGTAACAGAATGATATCGATTTTTATTACCTGGGCTTTAAAATTAAGTGGCAAATAATTTAATATTGATGAGTTCAGATTTGCAAATGAACGCATTATTTAGTTCAACAGGAAGTCCTCATTTCTAATGGCATCGTTCTCTTGAATTTTAAAGGCCAAATAAATTAGTGTTGAGTGAATGATAATTTATAAATCATTTTAAACTTTTATGTATATTGAAGTGATGAGTTCATGACCGATATCGAATTAGAGTTTATCATAAACACTAGGTATATCGCAGATTCTGCCATAACTTAGGATTTTTAATACACTTTTATTAGCTTAAGACGTATGTATGTTTGTAACGGAATCTTTGAACATATTTTGACCCCCTTCAAAACGTTGGATTAACTCGAAATTGGGTATACTTATTAAGGACCGATGACAATTCTAAAATTGTAAAAAAAAATTAAAATAAAGAAATAACTTGAAAAAATTTCAAATTCAACTAAAAAATTAAAAATAAATAAGAGTTTAAAAAAGCTAACGAAATACGCTTTTATAGAAAATCCAACAAAAAAATAGAAAATATGGATGGAGAAATGGATTTTCTATAAAAGCGTATTTTGTTAGTTTTTTTTAAACTAGTTTTTTCTTATTATATTTGTTGGGACTTCGATGTTTGAAATCGTTCTGGGCTAAGGCAAAGGGATCCTGTGTACACATATTGAGCAATGCGACAGTGCCGGTGTTCAAATGAAATACATACTTAACAAATATTCTCGATTGACTTTAACGGAGAAAGAATAAGAGCGTGTATTAAAAATCAGACCCGCAAAATTATAAACTTGCATAATTACTGATGGTAGGACGTCTTGAGAGCTCGCTTGGTTGGATAACACCCTGCCTATTTCTGCCGTGAAGCAGTAATGCGTTTCGGTTTCAAAGATAGCGCAGTCGTACTATAAAAGCTGAGACTTAGAACTCATGTCTCAAGATGGGCATCGGCATTAACGTGATTGATGTCCATGGGCTCCGGTGACCACTTAACACCTGGTGAGCCTGTGAGCTCATCCACCAATATTGACATTTTAAAAAAAGAGTTAGTTTTTAGCATTTTCATTGTTGATGTCCATATGGACTTCGGTAACCATCGAATTACCGTTTCAAGGCTCTGTAGGCATTTTCAGTAAACGAGCTCAATATAACTGAATAAGTTCAAAAAGTGTCAACACAATATTGTAATGCAGTAATTAGCCTATCGCAACATAACATAATAATAGAACGTATAACATTTTAATGAGACAAGAGGTCCCGCACTAGTCGAAATTCGACTATAATTAATTGGAATTGTAATTTTGTACACTTACTATAATCACAAATTTCACCAAGGCTACACTATAAAAATATATTAACAAAGACAAACAATATTTAATCTATTCTCAATTTGACCACAGACGTCAAGAACAAAAGTTTGACAATAAATAGTATGCATGCGTGTGTGCGTCAAATACATGGTATGTAGTGTGTGTAATGTTTTCTTTATTGATTTAATGTATCTTTTACACATTATTTAAAAAAAATATTAGCTTTGTGCACTTCTTCTCTATATTCTCTATAAGGGTGGAAAATTTCATACTCCTCCGTCCGCGCAATTTTCGTAAAAAGGGATACAAAGTTTTTGCTTCACGTATTAATATATATATATATAAATAATTCTGCTAAGTTAATTTAATTGTCAGGTTTTGTTTATCTCTTTCCTCGCTTTTGTTGTTTGCCTAGGCTAGCGTTGTGTGCTTAGTGCGAGCTTTTTAACGTTCTCGATAACGTAAAAGTGAACTCAAATTTGTATGGAGTTGGAACGTTTGCCTACGTTTGCCGCTAGGGGCGCTGTTCCGACTCCATACAAATTTGAGCTAACTTTTACGCTATCGAAAACGTTAACAAACTCGCACTAAGCACATCGGTTATGTTTTTTTTTAAGCTGGACCAAGTTTGAGATTTATATAAATACTTATAATTTTTTTATTTGTGCTCTGCTCAGTATCGATGTTAGCATAGTTATAGAACTATGAAGGCTAAGTTGTCCTGGGAATGAGAGAATGGGTACACACACTAGAAATTTAACGCTTTTAATAAATAGTTTTATTTTGTTTGCCCTTTTGTGGGATAACTTAATTAAATAAACAAACCACAGGTGCGTCGTGAGTTTGTTCACTCGTATAAGCAAAAGGACCTCCATTCTATCCATTTTTGCGGCAAAGCCATCATGCGTACAAGTTTGAAGAACAACACAGTTGTTATACATTTTAATTGAATCGTCTACCTTACATACGATCACTCAACTGAAGCAAAAAAATACTTTTTTGTTTTTTTTACTGTCCTTGTAGGCAGACGAGCATACGGCCCACCTGATGGTGAGTGATTACCGTCGCCAATGGACTTCAGCAATGCCAGGGGAAGAGCCAAGCCGCTGCCTACCAGTTAATACACTCCACAAGCCTCGTTTGAAGAAGGACATGTCATAGCATATTATAGACATGGAGAATAGGGATACCGCACTCACATGTGGAGATTTTGATTAAAGATGAATTCGTTCCATACTTAATGGCTTAATTTCTTATAAGGTTTTAAGTTAAGCTATAATAGTGTAGTGTTAAGTTATAATAAGTTAAGCAATTAGTGGCGCGTGCGCCGGACGACATTTTGTAGCAAAGAGTAGGTAATGCTTTTTTCCATAGATAAAAATAAATAATACATAGAGTAATTTAGTGTTTGATGCGAGCGTATGGCTCAAATGATGCTTGCTAGGCGTTAACAATAGTCATAGCGTTGTGCTGTGACTATTGTTATTGCTTAGTTGGATGGACGAGCTCACAGTCCCCTGGTGTTAAGTGGTTACTGGAGCCCATAGACATCTACGGCGTAAATGCGCTACCGATCTTAAGATATAAGTTCTAGGATCTCAGTATAGTTACAGTGGCTGCCCCACCCTTCAGACCGAAACGCATTACTGCTTCACGGCAGAAATAGGCATAGATATATACATAATACGATGACTTGAATCCTGCCAGGAGTGACGCCCGGCAGCAAGCTCCCACCGGCGCGGTACTGTCGTCTGCTTGTTTTTGTTTTTTTCTCACAATGCACGGGAAGGTTGAAGGTTGCTTTGTTTTGTCACAGAGAGGGCGCCTATGGGAGCGGACTCTCAGTGTCTCACGACTCGGTGTTCACCGGGGAGCGATCCGGGGACGAGTCCAGCGAGGAACGTCCTCCTCCAGCACATGGCCTGGCGCATATAGCCAGTTCGCACCGGGTGAGTTAAATACTCATTATTGTACAGCAGTAACTGAATTGTTTTTTATTTATTTATTGTTAGATGGGTGGACGAGCTAACAGCCCACCTGGTGTTAAGTTACTGGAGCCCATAGACATCTACAACGTAAATGCGCCACGGACCTTGAGATATAAGTTCTAAGGTCACAAGTATGTTAAGTTACAACGGCTGCCCCACCCTTCAAACCGAAACGCTGCTTCACGGCAGAAATAGGCAGGGCGGGGGTACCTACCCGCGCGGACTCACAAGAGGTCCTAGCACCAGTAATTACGCAAATTATATTTTTGCTGGTTTGATTTCTATTACACGATGTTATTCCTTCACCGAGGTCAATCGTGAACATTTGTTGAGTACGTATTTCAATAGAAAAATTTGTGCCCACCTGGGATTCGAACACCGGTGCATCGCTCAACACGAATGCACCGGACGTCTTATCCTTTAGGCCGCGACGACGACAGTAACGACGATTGCTTACGATTGTAAAATTAGGTAGATGTGCTTAGACTTACTTTTCCGTCTATCCACGCCATCTGTTGACGCTCAAAGTAAAAAAAAAACTACGCGCTGAAAAAAAGAAACGGAAGATGCGGTAAAATTGCAACGCTTTTTTTTCCTACCTAAGCTGATGGTCTTGAGAGACCATTTCAGCGTAGCCTTAACTAGTAGTAGGTGAGCTCACGGGGCTTAAACCTGGCAACGTTGCTAACCCTAGTAAGAGCAGCGCTTCGCAGAATCTACCACCGGATCGGAAACGCGACCCATTGAGAAGATCCAGCGAGAAACTCATTGAAACACGATGCTGGTGCAAAAGACAAAAAGTTGTGATTATTATTGATCAATCAGCAGAAGTGGCAGTGGGTAAGCCACATAGCGCGAAGATCGGACGACCGATGGATCAAAAGGATCCTCGAGTGGATGTTAAGTGGTCACGCTTAGACAGCACAATGTGATTTCCGCTACCCACCTAAAGACATGAGTTCTAAGGTCTCCCTTTTAACAGTACAACGGCTGCCCCACCCTTCAAACCCAAACGCATTACTGCTTCACGGCAGAAATAGGCAGGGTGGTGGTAACTACCTGCGCGGACTCATAAGACGTCCTAATATTAGTAATAGATGGCTATCCTTCACTTTTAATTCGGTTTACGAGATCGTTTCGCGGCGGAAATAGGTGGTGTAGTCATACCTACCTGTGTAAACTAACAAGACGCCTTTTCAGCAATAATTACGCAAATTATAATTTCTGGGGCTTTGATTTTTATTTCACGACCTTATTCTTCAGTCATTATGAAGAACCCTTGGGGAGGCCTATGCTGTACAGCAAGACGATCAAGAAACCGGTGTCGAATAATAAAAATCTATAATAAGTTTTTACTTTCATATTTAAAATTTTAAATATCTACATACATATCGCGTTAGTGTCTTAGTTATTAAAATAAATAAAAATGTAACTTAAATTAGATTGTTAATAAAGGCTATCTTATCTTATCTTATTCCTCAGTCATTCATAAAAAAAGATCGCTCGATACGAGTACACCTGGCGTCTTATCCTTTAGGCCACGACTCACTGGTGGTAGGACCTCTTGTGAGTCCGCGCGGGTGGGTACCACCACCCCGCCTATTTCTACCGTGAAGCAGTAATGCGTTTCGGTTTGAAGGGTGGGGCAGCCGTTGTAACTATACTTGAGACCTTAGAACTTATATCTCAAGGTGGGTGGCGCATTTACGGTGTAGATGTCTATGGGCTTCAGTAACCACTTATCACCAGGTGGGCTGTGAGCTCGTCCACCCATCTAAGCAATAAAAAAATAAAAAATAGAACTTCAAATTTATGAAACGTCAACTTAATTTCGCGGTTGACAAATCAATGCAACATCTCTCAATTACATAATTAATAAGTAAAAGTAACACACGCAAAAATAAATACACCCACGTCTGTATATCGACGCTTGAAAGGCAAACGTGATTAAGCGACAATAACTGCTTTATACATAAATGATAGGGAATAACCATATTCGATGCGCAAAAAAAATGTATTTCTAGGTCTATTAAAATCATTTCAATCCTACAGCTACTAGCTAGATTCTACTACAGCTAGATTCGTCAAAATAAATTTTGTTTTCAGGTATTTCGACTTTAAATTAGTCTACTGTAAAGTTCACGCATTGTCGCTTAGTCACGTTTGCCTTTCAAGCGTCGATATGTACTAATAGAAAGCGAATTAAAAAAACACCACGTCATATTTTGAAATGTCACGCTAAAATGTGCAAGCTGTTTCGCAGCTGGAGTTATATTGATTGAGGTGAACTTGACGGAGAAGGTCCTAGACGACACCCGTAGTAATAATATATTCACTTCAATATAAAGAACATGTTCTACATGTCGTCGTGGTCTAAAGGATAAGACGTCCGGTGCATTCGTGTTGAGCGATGCACCGGTGTTCGAATCCCGCAGGCGGGTACCAATTTTCTAATGAAATACGTACTTAACAATTGTTCGCGATTGACTTCCACGGTGAAGGAATAACATCGTGTAATAAAAATCAAACCCGCAAAATTATAATTTGCGTAATTACTGGCGTTAGGACGTCTTGTGAGTCCGCGCGGGTAGGTACCACGGCCCTGCCTATTTCTGTTGTGAAGCAGTAATGCGTTTCAGTCTGAAGGGTAGGGCAGCCGTTGTAACTATACTGAGATCTTAGAACTTATATCTCAAGGTTATATCTAATTCGAGTCCGAAGAATCAGTTATTTTCTTTGTTATTGGTAAATGGGTCGATACTTTTACCGACCTAATCGCTGGTTTCTTAAGGATCTATTCCAGCTACGCAATGGCCGGTATGTGAGCTCACGGGCTCCACCTGAGAAAGTTGCGAGTGCTTCGCAGAATTTGAGAGGATCCTGCGAGAAACTCACCGGGTTAATGTGCCTACGAGAAGCAATCGTTTAGTTTGAAAGGACTGTTATTCCACCTGTAAATGGTGCTTCGAATTTGCGCCAAATACGGAACGCATGAAGAGCGGTGTGATCTAATAATATTTATGCTTCTCAAATTCCCACCGTCCTTTGTTATCATCATCGTCTCAGCCTGTCCACTGCTGAACATAGGCATCTCCAAGTGATGTCCAGTGCGGCCGATCCGTTGCCACCTGCAACCAATGTGAGCGATGTTCAACAAGTGGTGGGCCCATCTGATAGGTGGTTGTCCCACACTGCGCTTGCCAGTACGTGGTCTCCACTCGAGGTTCCTTCTGCCCCATCGGCCGTCCGATCTTCACGCTATGTGCCCTGCCCACTGCCACTTCAGCTTGCTAATCCTACGGGCTGTCGGCAACTTTGGTTGTTCTACGGATCTCCTCATTTCTGATTCAGTTTCGTAAAGTATAACCATGTCCATAGCTCGCTGCGTGACACTGAGCTTCCTAAAAAGATGAAGCTTGTGAAGCACCATGTCTCGGAACCGTAAGCTATCACTGGTAACAAACATTGGTTGTACACTTTTGTCTTAAGGCACTGAGGGATTTCGGACCGGTTGTTTGCTTGTTATCAATCGTCAATAATGTCGGTTATAAGATCACGTAATTAGTAAATAAAACAAGCACGAACATTTTGAGGTAAGGTCGTGGCTTTCTTTCAGACGACAACACCCCAAAAACCTAAGAAAACCTTTTCCGATTTTAAAATCACGAAAACAGAAGCGCTTCGATCGTTAAGTACCGTAAAATGGGGTAAATAGGGACAAAATCGAACTTCAGATTGAATTTTAACATAGTTCCAATTAAATAGTCACTGCTCAACCAAAGAAATAAGTTGAGTCTTGAACGTACCTAGGTGATAAAAACCGTTACATAATTTTAATTATTAATTTTAAAGAAATAATCGGTAAAATAATGGCCGTCCCAATTTACCCAGCGTCCGGGGNGGCCAAACAATTACAATATTCGTAAATTGTGTTTTATTTACAATATAATTGTGTTTATTATTTTATGAAAAACACTTAATAATATAAATTTACCAAAAAAAGATATTCCTTCCAAAACCTTGGTGTTACGGTGGTTTTTTACTCAGTTTTTGAACGCGCATTGCAGCGTTTTGACGTCTTAGTGTTGGCTATGATTGGAGCATACTAATTTGAAATAAGACCACAAATTTATTTGTGGTCTTATTTTTCGGGCCGTTTTTGAAGCGCTAATCGCGAATCTAGTAGTATTATTGATCGAAGACTTCAATATAAATATGTTTGTTTTACATGTCGTTGTGGTCTAAAGGATAAAACGTCCGGTGCATTCGTGTTGAGCGATGCACTGGTGTTCGAATCCCGCAGGCGGGTACCAATTTTTCTAATGAAATACGTACTCAATAAATGTTCGCGATTGACTTTCACGGTGAAGGAATAACATCGTGTAATAAAAATCAAACCTGCAAAATCATAATTTGCGTAATTAATGGTGGTAGGACGTCTTGTGAGTCCGCGCGGGTAGATACCACCGCCCTGCATATTTCTGCCGTGAAGCAGTAATGCGTTTCGGTTTGAAGGGCGTGGCAGCCGTTGTAACTATATTGAGATCTTAGAACTTATATCTCAAGGTGGGTGGCGCATTTACTTTGTAGATGTCTATGGGCTTCAGTAACCACTTAACACCAGGTGGGCTGTGAGCTCGTCACCAATCTAAGCAATAAAAAAAAAAGTACAAATAGAAAGCGAATTAAAAAACACCACGTCATATTTTGAAATGTCACGCTAAAATGTGCAAGTGTGTGTGTGTTGAGGTGAACTTGCCTATTTCTTACCTATACTAACCTTGCCTATTTCTGCCGTGAAGCAGTAATGCGTTTCGGTCTGAAGGGCAGCCGTTGTAACCATACTGAGATCTTAGAACTTATATCTCGAGGTTATATCTAATTCGAATCCGAAGAATCAGTTATTTTCTTTGTTATTTGTAAATGGGTCGATACTTTTACCGACCTAATCGCTGGTATCT